TTTAGACACAGCTGCCATCATGTACAGCAGGTCTTTGGACCGCGGGAGGAAATTGGAGTGTCTGGAGAAAAGCCAGGTGAATATGGGGTGAGCAAGCAAATTCCATACACACAGAGATACAATCAAACCCAGGACCTTGGAGCTGTGAAGCCACACCTCTACCCACTGTGCCATTGTGGTGCAAATAATAAAAGAAAGAAAAGCATAGTTTGTAATGTCATGCTGCCACCCTGTGGTGATGGTCTTGTAGTGGCAGTTGTAATTACTCACCCAGTTGCCAGTACCTGTAAACATCGTCTTCATACTTTGTAGACACACAGTTTTTAAAGTAGATGTAAATGTATACATCACAGATGTAGATGTAGTCACTTATGCTGGATACAACAATTAGTTACAACTAATGAGCATCTTTAAAAAACTTTAAGGATTTCAGCATGTGGTAGTTTCTCCATTCACAAAACACTATCTTTAAGAACCCTGAACTATGTGGATCTTATTTTAGAATTTGTGCACTAAAAACATACAAGACTGAAAAATTCAAGTTGAAAATGAGCAAAAACTGTTTTATTTGGGGTAATCTTTTATTGCCCTGGTTTATGTTGTGTAGCCATTGACCCAAATTCTCAAAGGAGCCTCACTTCCCAGTTGCACCAAAGATAGGGCAAGGCTGGGTGTGGTCGTTCTTCTTAAACACCTTGTATTCACAGTTCTCCCAGTCAAACTCCTTCATGCAGTCATCAGGGAACCTGACCGGTGTGGAGTACCTGCAATCACAATTGCAGCCTGGAGTCAAAGTGCATTTTGTTTCAACCAATCGCGTGAGGTTATATGATAATGAGGAACCTGAGACCATGAACAGAGTACAACGTACATTTTGCATGCTAGAGGCAAGTAGTTATTTGTTGGATAGGCACATGCCTACAGCACTTACGCATCACAACATCTGCCACACGTGCAGTCTTGGCACTTGGAGTTCCTCCAGCGTGAGCCCATCTCGTGGAGAGTCTTATCCACGGGGTCCTCACAATGAGTCAGCAGCTTGGGATTCATGCCTAGACAGAAACACAAGGTGTGGTGTTCCCTTTTAGGGAGATACAGGAGGAGCCCACATGTCTTTCTCTGTTACCCCTGTATATCAGGGAACTTTCTTTGTTCTGACTTCAACTAAACATACCAAACACTGGAAAAGAAAAAACAAATTCACTACATCATAGTTCACGGAGAATATTCCCAGTTTACTTTGAGCTGCTAGACCTGCAATGTCTTTTTGTTTAGATAAGAAATAGTAAAAAGGTGTGCAGGTCATTTAGCCTCTCATATTCATTAGGTTACTAGCAGGCAATCTATTCAAGGATCTCATCCTGCTGTTTCTTGAAGAAAGCTGGTGCATTAGCTCCAACAATGTGGCTGAGTGGCGTTTTGCAGACTCCCACAACACTCAGTGTAAACAGGTGCATCCTGCTGTTTTTAAATGCATTTACCCTTCGTTTCCACTTGTGTTTTCGAATATGCATTTCAGCCCCTTTAACCTATTTGTGTAAGGCAATCTTTTATGTACAGGACTCACCTCATTGCCCTTCATTGGAATAAAATGCACAACAATTGTGCCGTGGTCACAAAAAAGATTTTTTGCTAATACTTTGTACATGTAAACGTTATTTCCCTTGACTTGAATTCTACACTTGTCGCAATGTAGCTCAGAATTCTGTTGGCCTTTTAACAGCTTCATAAAATGTTTGGTGGAGGACAAGTACCACAAAAACAACTTTTCTTTTCTTTACATGTTCTTTTCTACTTGCATGTAATACTTTAGGTTTGCATACATTAACTTGAATTTGCTTGGTAATACTTCTTGTGTATATACCAAGCCAATCCTTCCAACTCTCCATTCAAAATGACTGACTTCTGCCCTTTCTGTCTTAATTCTTTCTTTTGCCCTGCAGCAGGAATGGGATGAATGCTTTCTATAAGTAGGGTCACCTACTTCTATTCAGTGTCCTCGTCTCTCCTTCTTGACCTTGTATATAAGGAAGCTCATTTTAAAACCCCTGTACTGTACATGCAACATGCTTTTCAGGATGTTTTTTATCTTTGCCAGAAATAAACCCGGTATTGCACCAAAAGTCATCGATTAAGCAAATTGTGTTGTCTCTTCGCCCACAGCCTCTGAAAATTCCTTACTGCATAAGTTTCTAATCACCCCCCAAGATGAGGAAAAACAAGAAAACATGCTTGTTTTAAACTCTAATGCCTTGAATACAAGGAAACTCCAACAGCAAGGAAGCTGCTGGTTTGAATCCAGACTGAAGTCAGAGCGGGTGGCACAAAGTTAATATACTATTATTGGATTTGGGTGGGAGACTCACAGCTTAGCTGTTCAACACTACCTCATCACCCCCACACCCCAAAATACCATGTGTAGCTTGGTGTCTGTAAGACTGGGTATTTCGCAGTCTGTTTCTGACCTCCAGCTGGCTTTGCTATTTTCTGTTTTGCTGGGTACAATGAAGAGCCCCAAGACTGGGCAGAGAACATGTTTCAGAGATTCAAAGGTAATATCTCCCGCTACATTACTTTTGCTTATTGCCTTCTCTTTCTCACACCTGAAGAAGGCTCCACGGCCGAAACGTCGTGTTTTCTTTCTTGTTTTTTTCAGCATGGAATACACCTATTACTTGTTCCTTTGCAGCCTATGCATGCTGACGCATCTACCCACCTGATGTTTCAGAGAGCTGCCTTTTGCTTACGTTACACAAAGCAATTGATGAACACACAGGAGATTTTCTCCACAGTCTCTGGGTGTGTACACATCACTTCCACCCTCTGAATTTATGCTAGCTTCAATCCAGTGGATATCCTGCAGCTGAAATTTGACATAACATGAATCTGAATGCTGCTTGCTTGGCACAATATGTTCCAGCTGATATCTGGAAAAACAATTAGAATATTTATAAATCATTCATAACAGGGCTTACTAACCTAGGAGTACACTGAGTGAAAATGAACTTTTTTTTTAATATAGGCAGCTGGAAGGTTTTAAGTATAGGGTAAATACTCTGCAATATCTAGGGCTTGGAAGGAGTCTCATACCTGGTTTCATTGTCAGTTCCACGTGGTAGCAGCCAGGCTGGCTAAGGTGAAGCACAGCACAAAGTAGCAGGGCAACAGCCAAGGACTTCTGCAGAAAGGATCAGCATCAGATACAGAAGGCACATATCAGGAACTTCTCCAGAACCACTCAGCACTCACAGAGAGAAAGCATGCAGATACACAGCACAAATACCAGGCGTAGTTTATAATACAACACAGCAAACAGGCAGATCAAGTACAAATGCACAGAGACAGCAATCAGATCAGGGACTTCTGCAACCAGAAGACACACCTGATTGAGGGAGAAGAATAGATTGAATGTCGTTCCAGTGCTCAAGTTTTCATTCACTCTAAACATATTGATAAGACAGGATGTTTTCTCAGTGTATAATTTGAAAACACTTCTCAGCACCTGTAGTTTTCAGTAACATGAAAAAGTATTTGTATAGCATCTGTGATTATTAAGCCACATAAAATACACAAATAAGCTTTAAAACACAACAATTTGTATTGAACAAGTATTTGACTTCTTTATCTGTTTACAATTAAATATCAATATATACAAAGAGGTATTTATATAAATTATGTGCAGTGTGTAATCTTCACCATAAAATTACAGAGGTTACTACCTGAAAGGAATAATTTTAATTAAGTATGACTGAGAGCTATAAAGCTTCTGTAAATTGTTTACATCTCCTGGCAATAATAACATAATAATAGCAGAGTGAAATTGTTGGAAAACAGAAAAGTGCCTAGAGTTTTGTGTCTGGTAAGAGGCAAAATTCTGAGAATAGGTTTTTACATGTACAGTACATAGCCTTAAAACAGAACTGAAATTCAAATGGCTTTACTTAACACAGTTAAAAAAGGCTACAGAATCTAAAAATCTAAAATCTGTGTAATTTTTCAACCTTAAAAATTAATGTTTAATTACAATAATTAAACACCATCGAGACAATGTTATAGTACAGGCATCCTGCTGGTTTTAAAGACTAATATAACTTCCACTTCAAAATATTTTTTGGACCTATTTTTTATGAATAAAAGAACGTAAAGCAGAGTCTTACCATTGTCTCAGTTCCTTCGGGTCTGAGCTGTATGTCTGGTCTGTTGAAATGACAACTGAATTTATACTGGCTATCACAAAGACCACAGGGCTCTTAACCCCAAAAGTAAATATTAGTTTTAAGTTTAAAGAGAGGGGAATACTGTTTTTTAGGGAATGTGTTTCCAGTTAAGAACCTCTCCCTACCCTTATGGATGTTTACCTTTACCTGGTGAGCACTGGGATCATGTTATCCTGAAGCCTGATTATTTGTTTTGTGTGGCATAGGTTTCGATGGCATAGGCTTCACAACGGGCTTGGAGCGCCTGGCCCCGTTACACCCTTTTATTCCCCCGACCCTTCGCCGGATCCCGCTCCAGCTTTTAACTTTGTCATGCCTGTCATGGATGGACCACCCGGCTCCGGACATTTGCATTCCCTGGATTTTCCTACAGACTCCCTTTGGACTTGTTTGCCTTGGACCATATTGAGAGGAACCTCTTGACTGTCTGAGAAGATGAGAAACAGGTATTTCCAACGCCATCCACGGCACTGTGAAAATTAGTACTTGCGTTTGGAAAACAATGAAGTGGTTTATCTTTCAGCAGGTTTTCAGTTTTTTTCACGTTTTTGCTCTGTCTTTACATTTGGATTTTCAATATTGGGGTGAAGCCGCAAAAAAAAACACACCTTGAGGAGAGTCATTGTAACCCAATCAACTGTTTATTCACCCAAATAAAAGTTCAGCTAATAAACCACTAGTCAGTCAAAACCAGATGACTAAGTTCATACCCTTTAAATAAACAAAAAAAAAAGTTTCCTTTGAACTGTTAGTGTAATTTGTGTTGACATCTAGTCTTACAGTTTTGATAACAGTGCAAACAGTAGTGTTATATATTAACTTTTCTCCTTGCTTGTGCTCTTTGGTAAACTGCAGGGAGGTTCCTTAGCAATAATAACACAGATTTGCACCACACTGATGTGAAACAACTCATGGAACTTCCTCTGTGCAGCACCACTTCCTAAATATTGCAATCGTACAATGACAATTGATTTGTTCCTAAGATCAGGTACCATTAAACCTTTAAAACCAAGAGTTTTGGCAGGACTGAGACAACATTGTGCAGCTGCAACTTTCAACACTGATATCTGAATAATAAAACAATGTGGCTATTTCACCAACCTCAAAAACAGAGACATTATAATTTTTTTACACTAGCAGTCTTTCTTAAAATGAATCTCCACTCTGAGAATGAGGAGCACTCAAAAAAAGTCTTGAATTTGGTGAACATTTACAGATACAGTATAAGACTCCTGGAGGGGCTAGTGTCTTCTGTTGATTTTTCTACCAAAGCTTCCAGCCACATAATTGTCTTAAGTATTCAATTTAGCACTAATAGAAATGCAACACAGAAAAGAAAATATATATATAGGGAGAATAAAATTCTGTATATGGAGACGCAAACACTGTATAGGGATAATTAAAATGCATAGCACAAGGAGAACAAAACAATGTACAGAAAGGGAAGATACACAGTGCCTATAGAAAGTCTACACCCCTCTTGGACTTTTTCATATTTTATTGTGTTACAGCATGGAACCATGATGTATTTAACTGAGAATTTTTGCCACTCATCAACACAAAGTACTCTATAATGTCAAAGTAAAAACATTAACATTAAAAGTCCTGACATTTTACTAAATTAATTCAACATAAAAAACAGAAAATAATTAAATGCATAAGTATTCACCCTGTGCTTTGACACACCTAAATTACCTCTGAAGTAACCAACTCTCTTCTCCAAGTCACATAATTACTTGTCTGGAGCCCACCTGTGTGCAGTTGAGGTGGTTCATATGATTTCAGAATAAATTCACCTGTGTCTGGGAGCTTCCCCACTTTTTCCATGGAAACACTACACTATGAAGACCAAGGAACATTCCAAGCAGATCCGAGACAAGGTTCTTGAAAAATACCAGCCACGGCAAGGAGATAAGAACATTTCCTAAGGCATTGAATATACCTTGAAGTACAGTGAAGTGCATCATTAAAAAGATGAGAAAATATGGAACAATTGTGAATCTGCCCGGAACTGGCCGTCTTCCAAAACTGAGTGTCCGGGCAAGAAGAGCCGTAGTAAGGGAGACCACCAAGAGGCCTACGGCAACTCTAAAGGAGTTAGTCTTCCATGATGGAGATGGGAGAAACTGCATGAGACAGCAATAGCATGTACACTTCATAAATCTGGCTTGTAGGGAAGAGTGGAAACACATCCCAATTAGAAAACTGAAATTGCCTGTAATGCTGTGGGTAAGGAGATGACAGTGTTCCCTCTGGAGCAGGATTGGAAACTGCAAGTCTAGACCCTCTAGATCCTGGAGGATGCACACTCCACAGGGAAGGTACATCAGTCCAGAAATGAACCTAGGACCCAAATGCTGTGAGGCAGCAGTATTAAATGACCCATCACTGTCCCACTCCCAGCCGTGACCGGTAGCATTTAACCCTACATACACTGCACTACTGTCCTAGGACCCAGAAGAGTGTGGCCACCAAATATAAGAAAAAATGATTTTGCAAGAGATTTGTTCACCAAAACAAAATAATAAAATATACTTGTTTGTGTTTTCTGGTTAATTCTATTAATACATTCTGGTACCCTGAGGGCATTGGTTCTTCTATTTCAGGATGCGCCGCGTTGTCCGTACCAACACCCATCAGATTACTCTTACTGTATGGGCGCTGTTTCGGTGCGTTCAACGGGTCGTCATCAGGGGATGACATCATAGTCTTCCCTGCAACCAACCTCGAACAGTTCTTGCCCGCCTTCTTCGCTCTCCGATTGGCTCTGCGACACATCCGGTTTGCCCTTGTGCCGGTCCGTTGTTGTGCATTGCTTCCTCATCGATTGGCCAATGGCCTTGTCTGTCAAAGCGCGTTGTTCCGCCCTCTCCTTTCTACCCGAGGTGTAGCCGGTTAGGTTGAGGCTTAGCGAACTGCTGTGTGAGAGGAAAGTGACAGGGCTTTTTTATATGTATTTAATTTTGAGAAAAAGAGAACAGATACATTACAGCGATTAACAGTAAAACAGCTCGTCATGGAGTCTTATGACATAATAGCTAACCAGCCTGTGGTGATTGATAATGTAAGTACAGGTTTTACGTGGAACTACCCACACCCTAAACATTCGCTAGACAGAGATGGGTTTATTGTTTTTATGGCTCAGCTGCAACTGTTTGTGTTTTCAAATTGCTTCATTCGTAAACTTTAGGAATACTGCTGCGCTTTAAACCCCCCTTCATTAAAATCGCTGGGGATACAGATCGACACAGCCAGTTTTAATATAACGCTTAGCGATTAGAGATCTTGGTGTGTCATCAGAGAGCTTCAGCTATTGTCATTATTTTTTCACATCATATAAGCTTAGCACTGCCGCACTGATTCCCTTTTTTACTTGCGCCGCTGTTATGCGAAGGGAATTCAAAATCAACAGCGCTGTGTGTACAGTATGTATTGCCATTTTGCTATCGTGATGTACTGAAGCCAGGTCACTGTGGAGGTACCACGACTCCGCCTATCATAACGTCTGCAAGGCTTCATGAATCAGAAACCAGCAGTGATGGAGACATTACAGTAGCCGATGGCAGACATTGCCGGTGCCACTTCTAGCGCCCTGTGTTTTTGTGAACTTATGTTGTCCTTCGCTTCGACGTCTCCACCCGGAATGGAAATCTGGTCATGTGCGCGGATGTTGTGTAGCTCTGGTGCTGCACAGAAGACAACCCGGCGTCAGATCCTGCTGTTCACTGCAATAGCACGCGTTTAAAATTAAAAATGATAATTTCTGTCATGTACAAGGCAGTGGGGGTAGAAACGGTTGTAAGAATATTATAATATTATTCTACCGGAGGCCAAAATAGTGCGCACTTAATCTCAGTCATTCTGTTTAAGTGGTTTGCCGTAAATTCTTGGATTGCAACGGTACGATTGTCATTTTAAAAGGCAGAACAGTACACGTATTTCCATTGTAAAACCTGGACTAAGCTCACTGTATGCTGTGTAACAAGCGCACGTCCACTCTTGGATTCATAAATCAGGCATTCCACATTTCAGACTTTCAAACGTACAAACTGGCTAAAAAAGTGTCAGATTAGAATGAATTATCAAAGTTCTTTAATGTGCAGGTGAGCCGCACAAAAGCATCCTGTGCTCCTGCATAGCTATCTTGCTAGAGGACTCTGTAAGCATGAGTCTGTGATGAATCCGCAGGCAGTCAGTCTGGGTCCAAAGTTATTGGATGTTATTTTCATTACGGAGCATTATCACCATCATCTTTTGGAATAATGGCACCTGTGATAGTCTTCATCCTGTTTCAGCCAACGTTTGACAGTCTTATTATGATCCTGAAAAAAAAAAGAAATAATGCTTTCATATCTGATACCATGAATAAGAATATTTTTTCTGTCTGTGTTCCTTGATGAAACAGCAGTGTTTTTGAAAGTGGAACACACAACATAGGATTGTTTTGTCCTCAAGGCTTTCCAAATATTTAAAAGGTGCTGATGTGCCTTTCTGGTAGGTTTTCACAGTGGGATGCCCTTATATACAGAAATCCTCTTAAAAACATTCTGGATCTAACAGTAATTATGAAACCAGTTCCTCAGGGACATGCTCCTCTGCCATCTGAAGGCTCTTGTGTTGGATGTTCTTTACCAGTTGCTCTAAATTTTAGTGCTCCCTTTGAACACATTGCGAAGCTAGTAGAAACTGCAGTTACCTTATTGTAATTGAGGTCCGATTGGACAGTTATCAAAATGGGAGGCACTTTTATTTTAATTTAATGTTTTTGTTTCTTAAATTTTTTCAAAACTGATTCTTGGGTATATCTAGTCTCTTCCTGTTTTGCAGTTGCATCTGGAATGGGCAGTGTTTTGATCAGTAATGCTTTGCTTGGACTGAAAGCACTTGTTCAGTTTGTGGGACAGGAGCAGAGAGTTACTGTAGTGACTGAATAGGTCTCTGTATTAAGATGTGTTGAACTGCAGCAAGGGCTATTACTAATTGATCTTAGTATCACAAACATCCATTAGTCACAATGTGATTGCCTGAGGTAAAACCAAAAAAACAGAAAATAACAGAATATGAAAAAAACAAGCTAATAAAGCCTGTTTGTTGTGTTAAAGATCCTGATACGGGCTTCTTTGTTCAAGCTCTTTTGAAATGCTAGAATGTCAAATACCCATAACAATCTGCGGTATTTATTTTTGAAATTTTAGAGTTCAAAAGTATATCTGTTTCCCATTTATTTGACCATTTTTAAGTTGAAAATTCTTGTTTGAATTTCATTATCATTCTTCCAAAAATAGTGACACCAGCAGCACCACAACAATACAATATTCCTATCGTAAGCATCATTTTTAAGATCAGCTGACTTGATGTTAGAATCCCAGACAATCTGGGTATTTTTGGAAGTTGTTTTTTTTTTTTCTTTAAATGTGGGCTTAGAAAGATTTTGATTAGAAGTATACTGAATGTTTTCTGATCGGCAGCCACTGAGTTGAGTTAAAATTGCTCTGATGTTTACCTTATTAAAATGAAAATGCCGTTTTTCCAGTTCCTTAAACAGTTTTAGCAAAGCCAGTCCAGGAGGCAATAAGTGAAATAACTGTGATAACAGCGTCTTAAGATGGAGAGCACTAAGATTGTGCTTGTTTTATGTATAATGTTTTGGAAGAGTTATTGCACCCATGGCAGATCTTTGTGTTCCTTAATGACCTTAATACAGTATAGATGAATTAGTTGAAGTTTGGTCTACTTCAGTGAAATGGCTACAGAGGCTTTGACATGCTGTGTGTCTATGAAGGGAAACAATGATGTCTGAAAGAGAGATCAGTCTATACCTGTGGCGGTAGGAGAATACCAAAATACATTATACAAATACAAAATACCAGATACATTTCCAGGCTTAAGGGAATGGCCTACACTGACAGTCTGAAGGAACTGATGATTTTTATTATTGAACTGAGAAGATTGCACGGGGACCTGACACAAGTATTCAGAATCCTCAAAGGCATCGACAAAGTCAATACAGTGGACGTCTTCAGAATGTGCATTTAAAACCAAGAGCAGGAGGCTCTTCTTTACCCAAAGGGTTGTGGGGGTCTGGAACAGGTACCTAGCCATGTTGTTGATGCTGATACCCTGGCGTTTTTAAGGTCATGGCTGGGTGGGATCCTTGAATCAATTCATTTATAACTGCCAAACAGGTTAGATGAGCTGAACTGCCTCTTCTCATTTGTAATCTTTCTCACCTACTTTCTTTATATGTTCAAAAGCAACCATTTTCACTCTTGTCATCTTCTTAGTTGTTATGAGAGCTTTGCACTGAGGCAGGTTGGAAAATATCCTCAGATTTTTGGGCTTTGCTGTTTTTGGTGGCATCAGTGACGGACTGGAGTTGTGGGTGACATTTTTATTAAGATTTCTGTCCGTACTTTATTCTGTTTTGTAGCATCATAGTTTCATAGTATCACTAAGGTTTGCATCTTCTTCATTGAAAACAAAGGTTTGTATAATCCAGACTTGATTCAAAACAAGAGAGAACCAGCTAAGGCTTGTGGAAAGCTATCCTTGTTGGAAATGACAAAAATTAATTCAAATGTTCATGTTACCTGTTTAACTTTCAGGAATAATTTATTTCCAAAAGCAGACTCTATTAGTTTGTATAAATCCAGTAGTTTTTGTTTGTCAATAAAACTTGATTCTTTTTCAGAAATGATAATTATTTACACTCTTATCTTTATTTTTCTTTTTTTAGGGATCAGGTGCTGTTAAAGCTGGCTTTGCTGGAGATCAGATTCCCAAATACTGTTTTCCCAACTAGTAAGTCATTTTTTGGTTTTGATGTAAAAATAGATATTTCTTTAGACATTGTATTCATGAAAAACTTTCCTGTTTTTGAAGTTCCCCAGGTTACTCTATCTCAGATTTTCAAGCACAGTGATGACTGTGTATATCTCTTCATAAGCAGTAGTTTGCAGTGCATGAGTAGACATACATGTGTAATAGATATCGAGCAACATGATTGTTTCCATGACTGTTTATTCTGTTTACTAAAATTCAAAAATATAAAATGATAAAAAAGCAGAAATATAACAATCAGGTTCCACTAACAGAATTCCTATCTTCCATACAGGTTAGTTTTGGTTTTCTGTAACATTAATATCTTCGCTTTGATCTTCCATTCTCCCATTTGAAATAAAAAAACTTTACAACTGTTTATGACATGCTTTATCGTCCCTTCCCCAGTTCCATTATCTAAGCAGTAAGTTTAAACAGTAAAGATCTGGAGAAGGCTCCGCAGCCGAAATGATTTTCTTCATTTTACTTTTCACTGTGGAATTAAACTCTGTTCAAAACTGATTCTCAGGTATATCTAGGATGTTGTATAGAGGTATTTCCCTCCAAAATAACACAGATGAAGAACGGGAAGTGACTAAAAACCAGTCCTTTTGGTTCAAGTTTGACGCGCATGCTTTCCTTTTGTCTGCTGTTTCACGGTTTTTCTATTTTTAGAGATGAAAATAACACTCTCGTTGTGGAGCAGGTTACCCTTTTTCAGATTTTTACAAGGTGGAAGGATGTGGACAAATTATGGCACAGGAAGCATATTAAGTTCACATTATGCGCTTTCATAAAAAAATAAATCAACACAGTTGGAATATTAGGGACGTTAAAAAGTAGGAAGCCTCCTTGTATGTGTGTTAGATTAACCGGAGTAACTGGAGGGAATATTGCCTGTAAGTATCCATGCTGCTTTGACGTGCCAGGGTTTGGCTTACACATGACCTGTGTCTCAATTCCAGTGTGGGACGTCCCAAGCACGTGCGGGTGATGGCAGGTGCCCTGGAAGGGGATCTCTTCATTGGCCCTAAAGCAGAGGTAACTCTATTTTCTGTGCCCCGATATCATCATTTTAATCAGGATGGCTTAGCAACCTCAAGTAAACCACAAAAGTAGTCACACACGGACTTTTACTCGTCGGCACAAAATTAACAACAAAAGACAACATTTTGTTGAAACTTGCCTTTTTCAAGGATGATTGTATTACAAAAAAGAATCACACATTTGTTATTCACACCTGACCAATAGTGAACCTTTCAAATTATCCTTAAATTGGAATTCAAATCACAGTCTTTTCAGGCTGTTTTAAAGAAATGTATCACATATAAGTGGACTGCTTTTCTAAACTGGTAAATAATGCACATCTTAATATAGTGCTATATTATCAACATGAGGGGGCTTAACATTGCTACAGATGGACAGAGATCCGACTCCTTTTAAGATCTGTTTTATAAAAGGTAATTTTTGAAATTGTCACAGTCCTTTTATTAATTAATGTTTGAACTTCACTCTGCAGTGCTGTTCTTTCAAGATGAACTGGCAGTGTACAGAAACCCTGTTCCTCTTAATCATATGTGTTTCCTGCAGAAGCAAATGAATTATATCCGAATTATCGATCTGATCATCTCTGTGACCTGCTGAGAAGAGAAATCCATTCTCTCTCGTGTTTCCTCTTTGCCTGTACTATGCAGGAGCACCGGGGACTTCTGTCAGTGCGGTACCCCATGGAGCACGGGATCGTGAAAGACTGGAATGACATGGAGCGCATTTGGCAGTATGTCTACTCCAAAGACCAGCTGCAGACTTTCTCTGAAGAGGTAGGCAGAAGAACATTAGAAACAATGCAAACTTTTTGGCTCATCTATCCCATTCTGTGGAGCTAACTGATTCCAGGATCTCATCCAGCCCTTCCTTGAAGGAAACCAGGGTGTCGGCTTCAGAGACATGGCTGGGCAAAATGTTCCACCCTTCCGCAACCCTCAGTTTTAAAAGCACTTCTGCGTAGTTTCCACTTGTGTCGTTCTGGTTTGTGTTACCCTGTTTTTTCCAAAGAAGTTCACTGCGTTGACTTAGTCAGTGCCGTTGAGAATTTTGAATACAGTCATTCTTCCCAGAACACCATTGTTGTGTTACTGATGCATTTTATATGAAAATGTTTAATCGGGGGGAGATTTTCCAGTTACAAATAATGGAATTAACCACATTTTATTATTTTGTTATTATTGTCAGCATGTTTACAGATATGTTTTAGTATACTTGTATGTATGTGTTAGTATATTATGAGCAGGAATGTACACATTAATTTGACATTTTGTGGTCATCACAGACATTCGTCCTACTTCCACTGGTGATTTTCCTGCATTTCCCCACTTTTTTGCCTCCCCAGCATCCTGTGCTGCTGACTGAGGCACCACTGAACCCCAGCAAGAACCGCGAGCGAGCGGCCGAAGTGTTCTTCGAGACCTTCAACGTGCCTGCCCTCTTCATCTCCATGCAAGCTGTCCTTAGCCTGTGAGCTCCTTCTTCACTGTAGACTCTTGAATCACTGCTCACACACTCCTTCACTGGAGCACAGCATTTTTCTTTATACTGCCGCTGTCACGAAAACTGTACTGAAAACTCTCCTTTCACACTGACTTCATACTGCTAACTTATCGTGGGATTAGTTAGATCAGTTTTCTTTTGATTCATGTCCACAACTGAGTTGTGAATATTTGAGACAATGTAGGGTTACAGCATCATTCAGGCTGAATGATGGTTTTGATCATCTGAAATTAAAGCAGGGATATTTGCTTATCACTGGTAAATTTGTGATCATGATCATATGCAAATCCTGAGATTTCTGAGGTGCCAGCCAATTTAGGTCCTTGTGTCTGTGAGAACTAATTTTAATGTCAGAGGTGCTGAGTTTTGTATTAAGTTTTGTATTAAGTTTGATTAAGTGGAGGCTGTTGGCTGATCAGATCGGTTGTTCCCCAATCCAGATCTGGAGGAAACGGGAGTGTTTCACACGGAAAGGAAACCAATAAATAATCTAAAACAAAAGATTGCCGGTGGGTTCAGACCCGCCCATTCTGCGTGGAGTGGGTGCGGTCGGGGCTGAACCTGTTCTTGGCCGGACAGGTACGCCACAGGGAGGACGACCGGTGTGGTCCTGGACGCGGGGGACGGGGTGACCCACGCCGTGCCCATCTACGAGGGATTCGCCATGCCGCACTCCATCATGCGGGTCGACATCGCCGGGCGGGATGTGTCTCGCTACCTCCGCCTGTTGTTGCGCAAGGAAGGCTACGACTTCCACACGTCCGCTGAGTTCGAGGTGGTGCGCACCATCAAGGAGGTAAGGCAGGCTCCAGGGCGGGAGTCACTGTCTGGGGTTCGGAGCTGGGAGCTCTGGCTTCATGTAGTGACGATAGCATTGCACAGCATCCTCATCTGGGGTGTTTTTAGACTGATCAGAGGAAAACAAGAATGCTGTTTCCAATTTTGTTTTTTGAGTTTGAGTTTTTTTAGGTATAAACCTCAATGTTATTAATTTTTTTATCAAATCCCTTGTGCCCTCTTATAAACAATTTCTAAGACAAGCATTTGACTTTTTAGGCAATAATAATTGCTGTAAAACTGGGCAGTTTCAGCACAGAATCATGCACTGTGTTCCCTTGTAATCATTATAGGGATTAAAACCGTATAACAGAGAGGTTGTGTATGAACCTTGTGTTCCTCGTCTCCCTACAGAGAGCATGCTACCTGTCCTTGAACCCTCAGAAGGATGAGACCCTGGAGACTGAGAAAGCCCAGTACACACTACCTGATGGCAGCACTCTGGATGTAAGAATCCCCTTTCACAACTTTTCATGAGCTTTTTTTCTTCCAAGTGGGGCCTGTCTGCTGAACTGGCCACCACTGTTGTTACTCTGCATCTGCCTGATGGGTTGTACTGTGTGTGTTACGCAGCTGTAGTGTGGTGATCTTTTCATGTGTGAAAAGGGTTTTACTAAGGCTGTGTTAGTCCATATATTATTTCAGAGAAGGAAAAAATGTTTTGTCTCATTTTTGGGCTCCTGTAAATGGCTGACCTTGACTCTGCTTCCTTCAGATCGGGCCGGCCCGGTTCCGGGCCCCTGAGCTGCTGTTCCGGCCGGACTTGATTGGAGACGAGAGTGAGGGCATTCATGAGGTGCTAGCCTTCGCCATCCAGAAGTCAGACATGGACCTGCGACGCACACTCTTCTCAAACATTGTACTGTCAGGAGGATCCACGCTGTTTAAAGGTGACCGCCCTCTTTCCTCTCTCTCGGTCTCCTCCTGTTCTCTACCACTTTGTGAGACTTTATCCTTCACCACTTCTCTCTCTCAGTATGTCTTTCTTGCTCAGTCTGTCTGTTCCCTTTTTTAACCAGACAGGAGAATCCCTTTTTATCTCTCAAATTCCAGCCCACTTTTATTTGGATCAACACAGATGTTACAGAGTCTTTATTCACTGCAAACAAGTTTGTGATCTCAGTGATGATGGGTGTAGGGGTGCCGTTTTCTGCCATTTTGATGTAAAATAACTTTTCTGATACAAGGGAAAAGCATAACTGATATGAGGGGAACCAGAGAAAACTATTCGAGACTCTAATTTAACAAAAAAAATCGATCAATCGCTTACCTTATTGCTTAAGAATGTTTTTTGTTCCATCCTTAACTATAATCATCCCTTGCCCTTGTGAGTTCCCTCTTCTGTGATGGAACCTCAAACGTGTTGTTCTGAGTAAGTGGGAGAAGTTTGCCTTGCTACTGCAGAAATGCACTTCTTACATGTTTGCTCTCTCTGTGTCTTTGCCAGGTTTTGGGGACCGGTTGTTAAGTGAAGTGAAGAAGTTGGCACCCAAAGATGTTAAAATAAAGGTACATTTCTTTTCCTAAAGTGTGGAGATGTTTTCTGCAGAGTCGGTGCTCTCAAAGAAATCCTTACAGCACAGTCCTTCATTGATGGTGGCAGAGTGCGAAGGGATTTTACACACTGCGTTTTTAATGAGTGTAGCCTTCTCTCACCAACCACAGAACCCACTCACTCATGATTGCCATGCTGTGTACCTGTCTTCCCAGTCGCAGGCTTGCTCCTACATGGTTAAAACCTTAAAAAAGGTTAAAAAAGGTTAAAACCTTGCTCCTACATGGTTAAATATTTGATAAGTGCAAATATTCTCCACAGACTCGTGACTCTTGTCAACTTGTCTCTCTCGTGCATCTCCCTTGCACACAACACGTCTCCGTGCTCAGTGCAGCACTGATTTATTTCCCAAGAACATTTGCAGTGATTATTACTATTTTATATGCTCTATAAGAAGGCTCTATAAGAAGGCATCCCTGAAGCAGCTAAAAATACTACCAAGTGCACAGAAATGTCTTTCTTCTGAACAGGGTGAATGTGATCTGAGTGGGTCTTTTCCAGTCATTCAATAAAAAAAAAAACTGATTTGTTTCTCCCTTGTCTCTCCTCTGTAGATCTCTGCACCCCAGGAGAGATTGTACTCCACGTGGATTGGGTAAGAACTCACTGCAAAATCCTTTTTGTGATTTCCAGTTTTAGACTAAGAGATAGAGTAGAAATCTGGTGAGAAAACTGGTATAAGGCTGTGGCAATATTTTGACCGTTAATAGTCAGGATTGTGCAGGAGGAGTTCTCCTCACAATTGATGGTTTAGCAGAGCTCTGAACTTTTTTCTGCTTCCTGGTATCAGTTAAGCTGCATGTGGTTAACAGCTGAGTCCTGTCGATCGCAGAGGCGTCCCGGACCAATGCACAAGCAGTATTGCTTTGTGTGTCAGAACAATGGCATCAAACAAGACAGAGATGCAAAATCTACAAGTTGCATCAGCTGGAGACTGTTGAACTCAACAATGCCCGCAGTCCACCATGGAAAACACAGCTGACAATTTTTAATTGTTAAATAATTGTTTCACAGTGTAATATGTACAATTTAACATGTCTAATTTGTAAAGTTGTCCTATACAAAATAGCATGCTGGTATTAATCATCTTCATAGGTTACTATATACAGTGGCTATATGTTCCTTTTTCTTTCACATTTTTCTGTTTCTTTTTTTTACATTACACTGAGTGTGTTACTACTGTGTTTATGGGCAACAGTGTGTCAATAATACATAAATAGTCATCACCCCAGCCTCAACTCTGAAGCCTAGCAGTGCTAGCCAGGGAGCAGGCAATCAGCAAAGGATTTTGGTGGGTTAGTAGGTGGCGCTTGGTCGTTTTGTATCTCCAGTTCACTGGCATGGTGATAATATGGGGGAACTGTGCTGCAGTAAGGGCAGTCTTAGGATAGACATCTCTGACATTTGGACTTAAAAATAAAACCTTTCTGCAGTGAGTGCAGTGTTGCTCACGTTACTGACAATATCAAACCCAGTCCAGGTGCATGCAATATGATTATCTGTTATGATTATTCTGCCACAACCCCAGCCACTTCTAAGCAGTTCCTGCAGCCTGTCACATGCCCGTATTCTCTCTCATTCTGTGCAGGGGGTCAATCCTGGCTTCTCTAGACACCTTCAAGAAGATGTGGGTCTCCAAAAAGGAATATGAAGAGGATGGAGCTCGCGCCATCCATAGGAAGACCTTCTAATAAAAGACAGGCCCCCCCCAGCCCCGATCGTTCTGGTTCAAATCCAGCCCCTCCACCTTCCCAAGGCCCCTTTCCCACATTTTACAGGGAGAAGCCAGGATCCTTGAGCCCGGCATGCCAGCTGATGCCCCTCTACACACACACTCGTGGGGCATATCAGCCAGGACTGGCAGAAGGTTCGGGCAGACAGTCTTGGTCAATTTCCCATCCACCCGCCCCAGATCTGTCAAACACAGCAGGCTTTCAGACACAGCTCCCTCTGTAGTGGACTCTTATATTTGTACATTTGGGCGAAACTGATGGCTGCATTCCTAAACGAAAGCATGAAGTATTTATAAAGATGTTAATCTAAGCCCATGTGATATCATTGCTCTTTCTAATGAGTTGTTTTTGCCATTAATGGAAGTTAATGTTCTTGTTAACTGGATAAATTCAGTTCTACTTTGATCACGTTCTTGTTTTCTTTTCCATGTTCCAGTCTTTACAGTTCTGCATCGTTGGTGAATGTTGAAAGAAATGGGTTGCTAGCCCATTTTTTTAAAAAAATCTTCATTTTTAATAGTTGTTTGTCAGTTTGACTATGTTGATAAATAATACACAGAAGAGCACTGTACAGCTACACTAATCAGGACCAGTCTATGTGTGGTAATGGTAATGGAGTCATGCAGCTGGGCAGGAACCTCCCATACAGTTTTAATACAGTAGAGTACTGTAGAGTCCAAGCACAAAACATTAAACACATGTTTTTCAGTAGATAGCATTGGAGCTCCAATACTGCCCTGCTACATAAGCAGCAATTCAAAGCAACATCCACTGAAAGATTTCTTCTAGAACCCAGGTTCAGTGCTGTCAGCATCTCTGAAAAATGTCACAGATTCTCATGGGATTTTGTTACCTCATAAAGCATGCAGATGTAGCTTGTGGTGTAGAGTGCAGCTTTTGCTTTTTTTTAGCTAGCTTTTCGAGATGTGGTTTAGTTTTGACTTTTTTCCTTGCTTACATTCCACGTTTTACACGCTTTGATTTGCTTTTCCCATTTTATACAGTTAAAGGAAAAAGTGAGCTGAGGAAATAGTGTTTGGCTAACGTGTTCATCAGCAGTTGTGCAATGCTCTGCTATAATTGCAAAACGATCTTATTAATAACTTATTATAGCTTATTACCCCTTTGACCATGATACTGTTTGAAGTTCTCCGTTTGTATCTTTGTGTCTGTGTAAACAATTTAAAACTTGAATTTGTGGCCAGGCTATAATTTGAGATTTGTATGTCAGTTTAATTATCCATGAATATTCATTTCCAGCCATTAGTAGATGTGTCGGAGAATGCAATCTGCTTCTCTCCAATTCTCATTATTGGATGTGGAAATGATCAACAATCAGTATGATCATTGTTACCTCTTACAGGTATAAAATCAATTGAAAAACATGTCTCCTGTATTAGACGTGATAGAGATATTAGCATAATATTAAAATATAAACATTCCCCTTGAATCTTGACACCTGAAGACAAGTTCACCTAGCTGTTGTTGTCTTTATGCCTTTCTGAAACTTGTACACTTTCCATAGGATGCTGAGAATGAGTGGTCCTTTTCATTGTGAGTTAATTCTCAACTGCCTGTGCGTGCATCTGTTGCTGTGATTAATGCTTTAGGTGTTTCATTATTAGGGCACAGATAATGGCAAGTTAGCAAGGCATGTTCTGTTTTGAGCTATATCCAATCCCTAACCGTAAATTACTTTTGTGGTATAGAGAGAACTCAGAAATCACAATTCTGTCCTTCAGATTGTCTGGTTAAACTCAAATAATTAAAGAATATGTAGATTAAAGTAGGGAATCAAATATGTGGATTGAAATTGTATTGGGATTAAGCAGTTAAATTGAATTATTCATTGACTGCCTCCTTCCAGATAATGAAGTCCAGGAGGAAGATCATGTGAATGGGTTTCAGAAATTCTTGGCTATCTTTCAAGCAGCATTAAAAAATGTCCAACAGCAGTTTGAAAGAGGCTAAAAACTCACAATAAATGGAAAATGTCTGAAAATCTTACATGTTTTATATTGTGGGAGATATTTGCAGTATTTTTAATACTGCAGCCTGTTACTACTCTACCATTTAATGCAAAGATTTAAATGATATATTCAGTGTCTGAAGAAGTGTGGGCTGTTTATCATGGTTAGATGTGAATGGCCATTCCAAAACAGATGAACTTGGCTTGCAAAAATATTTTCAGCTGTCAGTTTAAATCTGCAGGTTACCTTGGACTTTGAAGTCCTTCAATCAGCTCCAAAGCAGTCACTGTGGGTGGTCACCTATTGCACTTGTAAATATTCACCATCAACACTGTTTTCCTTCAAATATTTGTGCTAAATCCTCATATCTTTATAAACGTCAAAGTGGAGTACAGATAGTGGAATTGTAGGTGTGCTGTAAACCTTTTGTCCAGGAGGCACACTGTATAGCTCAACAACCAAATGGACTTATGCTTCTGATCTTGAATAACAGAGTCCAAGCCCAGTGATCCTTTAGATTTAGGGGGAAGGTCTGTCTCTAGAGACAATGCCCTCCATTACACATAAATGATGAGTTCTGACACTGAGGTTCTGAACAAATTCATTTTTATGCTGCCTTAAATGTTTGAGTTGTTTCTCCTGTCTCCTTAAAGTCACAACAAGAATATTTTTTCCCTCTTTTGAATTCAATTGTCCATCAGTTAATGGGAGGAAATAACGGTTAGGAAAGTAAAATTAAATCATGACTCAGCTGTCACGACTCTTAAATGATCCCTTAGTTATTTAAACTGGAATTAAATTTTCTGTACTTGCATTCCAAGCACCGTGCTTGTTTATTGTTTGTTTAATTTGCAGTAGAGAACTTGCAGTCCTATTGAAATCGTTTGAAAATGTGGCTGTCAATTATTGTAAAATTGGAAAGGTTGATTTAAAACCTTAAGCAATGAACACATCCAACCAAACACAGCAATCTATGCAGTGAGGTGATGAATCCCAAGCAGAACAGAAACACGGAGAACTTGCAGCCCTGGATGACGAACGGAATTGGCTTAATCTTTGAAGCGTTTTGCTTGGTGCAGCGTTTGTTATGTCCGAGTCCGTCCTCCGCGATCCCAGCCACGTCCCCTCCTGCCTTCTCGGCCCAAAAGCCTCTGCGTCTGTATTGGGGAAGCTAATTTGCTCTGATGTTTTAAAGCAGGTGAATTCATCAGCCTTGTATACAGCGGATAGTATTGTAAAATAAACACATGCCCAGAAACCGAAAACTGAAATGTAAAATATATTGGAAGTGTTGCTTTTAATTTTGTAAATCTAAATAATAAATTAATGGTTGCTGATTCCGTCTTTTTGATTATCTTTTTTATTTTGTAGGCCGCGGAATTAATCATTTCACCCCTCATGCTGATAATTTCTACTATAATAATTTTCGGTGTGTTGAGAAGTTGGATATGCTTTAAGTTGTGCAAACTGGACCGCTTAACGGTGCTGTCCTCAGCATCCAAGAAAATGTGGAGAAAAAATACGTCGGTTCCTTTTCTACAAAACATCAGAGATTTTCAGATTTGAACATAATTGTAGAGCATTAAGTAGGACAATTTATGAGGCATAAATATCACCTCCGATGTAATACGGTACGTGCACGCATTTCATATTAACTGGAAAATGTTTTAATACATCTCAACTAAAACTTAAGCGTGAATGAACTTGGCTTTTTTGAGGCAGGCTAGTAATTATGGTAGCTAATTTTAATCTCATTCAGTGAAGTGCAGTTTCCGTGACGTTGACAGAATGATTTTAACTTTAAAATACATGAGTCATAAATTTCAGGGCAACCGAACTTGCTGCTTTCTGTGGTTTTTCTTATTGGTTTCATTGTGTTCCTGGTTTACATTTTCTTGTATTTGGTTGGTCGCGACAGTTCACCAGCTGTATCTCCGTTTCGTGATTGGGCGATGGCGGAGTGATGAGCTTTAAGCATGGTAGTCTGTCTTCTGTGAAAATTTCCACTTCTTTCATAGGCAGTTTTTTATAAAGTTGTGTTTTGTGTAAATATTTATTATAGTTTTGTAACTAATATCTTAAGCTACATACAAAGAATGAGGAGAGTGACTCTCTTTGTAAATGGAACTTCCAAAAACGGCAAGGTAAGAAATATTAACTATTATAGTTGTAACAGCTTGCTTATAAGATCTAATTTATTCAATCATGAAATGAAAAGTCACCTCACTGGTACCGAGCATTAATTAGCATAGTTATTGTTTGTACTTACCAACGTGTCGTGCTACTCAGTCCCTTAACGTTTGCAAAATCGACAGTTTTAATGAGCTAAAACAATCTTAACTGTATGGGTAAAAGATTTTAGTTATCTGCTCGTAATCATTCAAGCAATAGTTTAGTTACTTGAGTGGAATTATTATTAAATACTTTTGAACATTGCTGGTGAACGTGAATTTTTGTCCAAGTTTTAGGTCTTTAACAGAGTGAAGATTTTCTCTTGAGATTTGCCTGTACTTTGCTCCATCCATTTTCTCCTCTATCTTATATATTATGTATATATTGCATTTGCTTATATATTGCAGTTGTTATATATGACAGTTTGGTGCAATGAATAATAATTCAAATATCATTCCAAAGGTTTTTTTATGTATATGTGTTGTGTGTTTCTACTGTTTTGTTGAAAGAAGCATCAGTATTATCAATGAAATAGCGTGGCAGCTGATAAAGTACACCTAGACCTGTCACTTTTTAATTATTGGAAGAGACAAAGTCGTACTACATATGTGAAGGATGAATAGAGATCCATTTGTTAGCCTGCTCAATATAATCTGAAGATTAAAATGGGTGGGTTCTTCTGTAAACGATATTGACATCCCTAATACAGTTAAAGTCCTAGTTTCCTTAGAGATATAAAAGGTCTTTCCCTGCATGTGTCTCAGGTAGTAGCAGTGTATGGAACTTTGGCAGACCTGCTGTCTGTGGCGAGCAACAAGCTGGGAATCAAGGCTTCTTGTCTCTACAATGGGAAAGGGGGGCTCATTGATGACATTGCTCTCATCAGGTAAGGAGGAGGTAGATATACAGAATCTGAAGAATTCATTCAAGGCCAATATGTATGGTGAACTTTTCCAATGTTGTAGACCTGAATGTTTAAACAGTATTCCGTATTTTGACTTCATGTGGGTTTTAATGCTCCCTTTGGGTTTTCAGATATTCAGATAAGACGGGGTTGCTAAGCCCATTTGGCGATAATGACACATGCTTGTTATTTGATAGTTGTATGCTGTGACCTTTCTGTTAGGCAGTGCTGTTGTTATATTGCAGTGTGATTGAGTTATTTTTGTTCATCCTGCAGGGACGATGATGTGTTGTATGTTTCTGAAGGAGACTCTTTTGTAGGTGAGTCCTGCAGTTTTTAGTGTGCCTTTCACCCTAAAAGAGATATAGGTTCATTAAGTGTCATCATCTACTAAGGAATTGTAGGACTCAACTGGGTGCTAAAGCTGTTATAGGTCAGAAGCTTCACTGCACTGCAGTCTGTGGAAATACTTGAAAACTGCTGTCCTAGGTGGAGAAGAATGAATTTGCTTTACCTATTGAATTAAAGGGAAACTTTTGGTAGGCCAGATTGAATATACCCTTTAGGCAGGATGCTTGAGTTTACACTCCTGCTCTACTGAATGGAGCTGAGGGATCTTTTAATAGCTAGGTATCCAGGAGCTTGGCTTAACTTCTCATTTGAAAGATGGTCCCGTGCCACGCAGTGCCCCTGGTCATCATGCTGGGGCATTAGAATCCTGCACATTCTGGTCCACAGGAAAAAGCGCCCCAGGTCCACGAGCACTGCTTATAGCAGCAATCTGGTTTTCAGTACTAGGCTGGAAGAACGCCACTGACCACTTTCGTCTTTGTTTGAGATTTCACGAGATCAGGCGGTGATGTGGTAATGAAGCCAAGTGGGTTTGTCACTTAGTCTGGCACCAGACTTCTCTCTTCGGCAGCGGTATATTTTAAGTCTGTGTTTTTGTTGTTGTTCGTGTATTGTGCGGTGGTCTAATTTCATGCTTTTCCAGATCCCCAGAATGAAGAGAGAAGTTCAGATGAGCTCTCAGGTGCCCACACCGACTGGTTAACGCTAAACATTGGGGGACGGTGTTTCACAACTACACGGTAATGTGCCTTTTAAGAATGTTGCAGCACTGATCTCTCCACACTTCTGAAAGGGAAAAAAAAGATATTGAAAATAAAGGAAAAATATGAATGTGGAGTAAATGGAGTTTTGTTTTTGCAGCACTTGATGTTTCTGCAGACCTTTAAGGAGTCTTTTCAGAAATATTCTTTTTAGAAATATAACTATGAAATACATAATTAACAACAGCAATTAAGAAATCTCTCAATCAGTAATCTGTGTGGGTATAAGCTGTGCAAGCTGTTTATTGTGTAATCCCCATTTGTGTTAGGCCCTTTGGCTAAGATGAAAAGGCAGGTATGTTCGCATTGCTATTTTCAACTCTGGGCAGAGGTCAAAAACCCAGGTCTCACCCCTGCAGGCTTGCACACAACAGGGATACTCCTGCCCCAGGCAGGAAACATGCATTACATTTGACCACAAAAAAAAACTAAGGGAAAAAATCCTTCTTTGAGACTGAATATATTTTCAAATTAAATTACACAGTAGCAACTAAGAGCAACAAAAAGAAATTCAGCAGTTATTTTCTCACTCGTTCTCATGTCTTCATTGCTCTGTTGAAATGATTATTGTTTCATAGCCCACAGTGATCACTTTTGTTTGTATGAAACATAGATCACCTTTTCTATAGCCACCATCCCCATCATACCAAATGTCATGCGTTCATACCAAGTAACCTCAAACAGTTACATATAATGTGAAACATGTTGCTGCTCCTTGTCTTGGACAAGACAGCCTTTCCTTCTCAAGAAAAGCATACAGTAAGTGCACACAACGAAACATACAGATTTAATGACATGCTGCACAACCCTGTTGGATATTGGTACCCTGTCCTGTTTGTTCTGCCACTGTTTCCAGTTCTGTTCAAAGTGTGGTTTAAGTAGTAGTTTGAACTCATGGTATTTGAAACTGGGACAAATCTCAAGCTGCTTTTTGTAGAACGATGCGATTCTGAAGTGGTTGAGTGCAGTGCTGAGTCTTTGCGGTACTGATGCAGGGTGATTTGACCTGGGATTTGAAAGACAAGTTTGAAATGGCCTTCTCTGTTTCTCAGGAGCACCCTGGTTAGCAAGGAGCCTGAGAGCATGCTGGCACACATGTTCAAAGACAAGGGTGAGTCTCTGGGTCAGTCACGCCAAGGTTGATAATTGCACTAGCTGGAGTGGGGGTTCCATATTTTTGCTGTTGTGCAAAGTGGTTATCCACTTTGAACTTTAAAACAAATGCTTTTGGCCATTTATGTTTGTGACTGAATTAAGCATGAATTGGCAGATGTCCACCAAAAAGCAGAATGACTCAGAAAAAATTGATATTTGTGCATAAATCTCGATAAGGCTTTGAGTTAACCGTTGAACTAGCTGATCTGCTAAATAGCTATATTTTTTCTTTAAATGTGGCTAAACGGTTCCTACTTCAAACGTTTTCACTTTCGTATTTCATGATTTCTGTCTCTTTTTCCCAGACGTGTGGGGTAATAAACAGGACGAGAGGGGGGCATACCTGATAGACCGCAGCCCGGAATACTTTGAGCCCATCCTCAATTACCTGCGGCACGGCCAGCTCATCGTCAATGAGGGCATCAACCTGCTGGGTGAGCAGGGCTGTCGGCACAGCTGACCACTTACCTCACAGTCTCCTGGACGCTGTAGCCCAGGGCGGGGGGACACCTTTTGTCCTGTAAAGTCAATACCCTCCAGGACTCAAGGGCAGCAAACATTGAACGTCTGAAACAAATCCTGATTTGCATTTAAAAGCCACAGGGCCGGCTTTGAGCACCCCTGCTGCAGCACGGGAGAGGGATAATGACACAGCTCAGGCGTAGCGCACTGGTATAGAAAGATCTGCTTAAACCGCTTGTTTACATTTTGCAATACAAATTTCTCAGACAGTGAGGAAGAAAGAAAAAAAAGAGGGAAAGGTGAGAGAGCAGAGGGTGCCTTTTATGCTTCATATTTATTCCCCAAAAATTGCACATCTTATCATGAGAAATACACCCCCTTTCTCAAAAGGTATACAAAATGGTTGTGGGATTCTCAGATATGACACTTGATATTTTGACACATAAGTTTCTGGCACTTTCAGTTGAGATTCCTCTGTATTGTGGAGAGTGTAGCTGTAGCCTGGTTCTGTACGATTTCCCTTTAGGTGTGCTGGAAGAGGCCCGGTTCTTTGGAATTGAACAGCTTGCTGAGCAGCTGGAGGTAGTCATAAAGGTAGGAGAACCGGTTCATTTAGTCTGCTGCCGAGACTGAGTGGAACAACTTTGTTTTTTTTATCTTGACATGTGCTGCCTTTAACTCTTAGCTGTTGGCTAGGTGTCAGTTTATCCATCTGCTATTAGAAGCTATGTAAAACAAATTCTGGTTATTTTCCAGTGTTTGACGTGTGCCGTTTAGTAGAGATTATTATTCATCCCATCCTTCTCTATACCAGCCTGAGAGACATGCCATGAAGATATGGTTTTTCCTCATTTCAGTGTAAAGTGAGAGGGGAAGTAATAACCTGCAGCTCTGTTATAATCTGCAGGTGCAGTGCACTTATCACAGGGTTCCTTTCCCTGCATGATTGTTTAACTGCAGTGGTGTCCAATCATGGGTCTTCAGGGGTTCATTATACCTAGGCTCCTGTTTACCTAATTATACTTATTTGTAGCTTAATATTTAATCAATTAAACTGTTGAAATGTCCGAATCTTTCAATATGACAAGCCCTAATGGATTTTTGCCCTCAAGGACTGGATTTTTGTAATACTGTTTTTGATACCTTGTGAATCTGACTGACTTTGGCTTGTCCCAGAATTCCCAGCCGCCAGAAGATCACTCTCCCATCTCGCGCAAGGAGTTTGTACGCTTCCTGCTGGCCACGCCCACCAAGTCAGAGCTGCGCTGCCAGGTAAAGAGCCAGATCAGGGTGTTCCTATTCTGAATTCAGTGCGTCTTGACTTGCCTCATTTCTGTGGATGTCTGTAATTTGGTACTGTCTGGATGCCACTGATATGAAATAAAGGGACAGAATTATTTGTGTGAGAGAGATGCACACGTTTATTCATATTTTGATCAATCTGATTTGATGTGTAAAATTGCACAAAGCGAAATTACACCTATGCAGTGCACCAGATATCCTTTGCAAATCAAATGCTTACATTGAGTTGACATGTAAATATATTTGCTTTGAATACCTGACATGATCATAAGTGAGAAATATCAAACAGAAACCGGATCTGCACAGACATTGAGGTGAGGGAGTCACTGGTATCTTTTCTTTGTCCCAGAAATGTCACACCTCCCATAACTGTGGCTCTTGTTGTGCCTTCCAGGGTTTAAACTTCAGTGGAGCTGACTTTTCCCGTCTTGACTTGCGTTACATCAATTTCAAGATGGCTAACTTGAGTCGCTGCAACCTCACTCACGCCAACCTGTGCTGCGCCAACCTGGAGAGAGCGGACCTGTCTGGAGCTAACCTGGATGTGAGTGCAGGGGCATGTCTCTCTCCCAGGGTACACAGACTGTTTCCATATCAGATGCTTGTGTCACTGTTGACGCGGGCGCTTTACCTTTTTCACACCATCTTTGCAGCCTCCTTCTCTCATACTCTTTGTGTTGAGGTGGATCCCCTGCCCTGCCGCTCTCTGCATCTTAAATGTGCTGACCTCTGGGCTTTCTGTGTGTTTACTACCTGCAAGTCCTTTCAAGAGCTGCTACATTATGGCTCTTTGATCAAAGTAGCAGACAATAGGCAGACATTTGTATTGCCCCCGGCTCAGTGAATCAAGTCCTCTGCTACTCTAGTTGAGCTACCAGCAGTCTGGTGGTGCTCCTGCTGTTGAAAAAAAGATTAAGGTAACCTTGTTTTATAGACATTGTCTTGCAGTGGCTTTGTGATTTTTCCTTTATCAAAGCTCTTATGCACTTTGCCTGTTCATCTGTCTCTTCAGGGCGCAAACCTTCAGGGTGTGAAGATGCTGTGCTCCAATGCTGAAGGGGCGTCTCTCAAGGGCTGCAATTTTGAAGACCCCTCAGGCTTGAAGGCTAATCTGGAAGGTGAGTGCTTTATGAATTATTGATCTCATCTGCCTTAATGAATCCGATTTTCAAAAGTGGGATTCGGTGGCATAAAAAGTTAGTTTATTCAGTAGGCTAGCAATACCCATAGAGCCCAGCACTGCTCAGCTGTCCATTTGTGCTGTCAGGCGCCAATCTGAAAGGGGTGGACATGGAGGGCAGTCAGATGACGGGTATCAACCTGCGAGTCGCCACGCTGAAGAATGCCAAGCTCAAGAACTGCAACCTGCGCGGTGCCACACTGGCAGGCACGGATCTGGAGGTGAGGGAGAGAGGGTGGCGAATCCTTCAGTGCACTATTTGATACATGCAAGAGATAAGCTTGCACCAGAAGTAAACTACCTTTGTTCATTCTTTATGAGCTGTGTCATCCTTTTTAGCATAGATGTAGATAAAGCTGTTGTAGTGACTACTGGTATTGGACCTGAATCAAGTAGCCAAGACTTTATTATCACACCACACTGGTTTCTTTAACTGTTGCAATTAAAAGTGTATTTCCCAGAATGGTCATCTTCATCTTTTTGTGTGCTTTTCCTCCTCCAGAACTGTGACCTGTCTGGCTGTGACCTTCAAGAAGCCAACTTGAGAGGGTCCAATGTGAAGGGTGCTATCTTTGAGGAGATGTTAACTCCATTGCATATGTCGCAAAGTGTCAGATAACCTCTCTTGCACTTGCAGATTCCATAAGGGCAAGCTGGCCGAAGGGAGAGTCTCTTCTGACATGCCTCAATGCTAGACAACCAATCTTGGCCCCCCTTCTCACATGCCTCTCCTATCAATAAGGCAGTCAGTCCTAATGTCCCTTCCAACGTACACCCTAGACACGTACTCAGTCAACTTTATATGCAGCTTTGGCAGTTCAGCCAATGTATTAGCTTTACGTCCTCACCCTAGGACATGTAATCAGATCCAGTGCACTCTTCACTCTTTCACATCAGTGTTTAAGAGCTTTGATAGGTGGTGCTGTTATTCTTATTTAAAAACCACAGTGCCCTATATATAGTGCTGTAGATGCTTGGGGTATTAAATGCAGAAGTCTTTTCAGGCTGTTTGTAGTCTTTAGTTGATAGATCTGGGATCATACTAGTTTGGTGCATATTCTAATATTCCTGCACATCAAGAACATCTGGACCGAACTTAGCTGTCGGTCCCACGGCTCTAAATATTACATTTTAGACTACAGTTAAAACACCATATTAAATGCAAGCATGATGTGGCAGTGTAATTATGTAGACAGCTCGTTTATAATTTCTTGAAGGCATAGATGCATCTTAGGACACAGCTGTTAATTGCACTAAAATGTACATTAATGTGCCAGGTCTTTCTTTTAAGCCACCATAAAACTCTTTAAGAGTTCATCAATGAAATGCAACAGCCACTTTTTGATACCTTCTATAGACTGAAGACAAACAAGAAATAATCTTATTTAATAAAATAAGGATTGCGGGTTTAATTACAAATGCAGGGGTTTCGAATGCATAAGCACCAAAAGTTTTGAAAGCTGTTTTCTCTGCAGTCTTTGAGATTGGATAGTGTGCAGGTCTGCAATGAAGTTGTGTTTCATGTGTTAAAGAGGTGTAGGCTACGTAGAGCATTCAGGGGACCTTGGGACATAGGCCACACTAAGGAAATGGTAACTTCAGTGCCTAGCGTGGGAGTTTCATTCACCTTTTGTTGGACCTCAGTGCTCTATTCTCTTGTTACGTTGTGCGTAATAAAGAGGTACTTCATATGAATAACGTAGGTTTGGAGTTTCAGGTGTTCATTTCAGGGTGGTCTTTTTTGCATGGTCTTATTATCAGACTGTGTGGTGTCGAGTTATGATTGTTTTTCCGTGGTCTGTATTAGTTCCTGATCTGAATCCCACTGCTCCCAATCAAAAGTGAGCAACTGTTAGGGAAGAAACATGGAAGTTGGTTCAAAAGGATGGAAGCGGGGTTGGCGTCTCTATGTCCAGTTCATCCTTTTTGTTTGTGCAACTGAATTATACCCAGCAGAAAAAAAAAAGGTGACATGGAATTCAAAAATGAGGGTGAGAATGGCAAATGACATGCATTGGGAGTACTGGAGATACAGGTGTGATAACTAGTAAAACCTGGAGACATACTGTAAGTGGTACAGAAAAAAAGGGAACCAAATATTCTGACTGTTAATATAATAAGTATGTTCTTAACCAAATTCAAGGTGGATAATTGTGAAAACAGTACTCCCTGGATCAGTAGAAAAATTAGTTTCTTGGTTAGACTTTTTTTGCAAAGTTGTCACTAAGATGTGATTTTCATCTTTTATTTATAATTGAAGGTAAATCTAAACCATTATTTTCTCATAATGTTATCCTGTAACATTAACCCATTTTAAAATGTAAGCTGGGAGCTCCTTATTTCTTATGGTGCATATCCGTCTTTGTGTTGTGTTCAGATCAAGTGCTTCCCAAATAGTGCGGGCTGTTCTTGAGCAGTCTCCTGGTGCTGTCATTCACTGCTGCTCCGTTTCGCACCCAGTGCCCAGCGATGTCCTGTACAGCAAATGCTCTGACAGAGACTAGCAAAAACTTGTTTTGCAGTTTTTAGAACTTCAGATTTAAAAGTAGCCCAGTACAATGTTACCCAATCCATGATCTTAATCGTTAAAGGAAAATTGAGTTCATATTTTTGAGGGTAGTGTATATTTTACAAGAATGCAATAGTAGTCATCTCTAACATAAAATATCAAAAACAGTTATTTCCTTTGTTCACTCAAATAGAATGAAAACATCTCAGTCAGTGTGGGTTCAAAATTTCCTTTGCTGCCCATTTCTCTCCTTCTTTAAAAACAGCGCATATTCAAAACCCCCTCATTGATTAAAATAGTTTAATTTAAGAGACTGGGAATTTTCTTTTTCTTGCAAAACAAGGTCATGTTTCAGACTCAGTAGCTGACTATATACTTTTTAGAGTAGAGTCAGTCATTTCCCAAGGTTCCTGGGTTTGTAATGAAGGCAATCATAATAGATTTTAGAGCATTATTTTTAGAGGAAAGGTCTGTATTGTCAGCATATCAAAGCCCTGCGAATAAAGGGTGAAGGTTATTTATTTTAATATATCGAACTATATATTTAAGTATTACAGGGTGGATGGAAATTGCTTTTTATGAAGTCTGGGTGACTAGATACCTCCACGGTGTCTCGCCCAGTTCTGTCACCTTTGCACTCAGCCACAGAATTGTATTATCTTGAATGGACTGTTTCATAAAGTTATATAAATGGAAATAAGATGTTGTTATGTGTCTTTATTTCACTCTAGATAATAATGCTTTACTTTTGTTTTCATTATGTTTATACAATAGATAACAACTTTGTCATACAAACACTTGACATACAATAAAATGTGTTTTATTGTATTATTTGCACCTCTGAATACTTCACAGATCTAAGGCTTGGAATTACTTTTAAGTGTAGTGCAAATTATTAATAATATACTCATTTGACTGTTATATTTCTTCAGTTATCTTAGCAAGTTGGATTTAATATTTCTAACGTATTTACTCACGGAGACATCCAGGAAATGCTTTTTTTCCCGCAGCTTAGTAGACTTCTGTATTCCATATTGGGAAGCATCGTGGCAGATGAAATTGCCCAAATACTGGGGCAGATTTACACAGTTTTCAGGAATATGACATTTCTTTGCAGCAGGTGCACTGATGTTGTGTGGACTGACAAGACAAATATTTGTCCTCTAAACTGCCCATATCTCCATGAAGACACAGAGCACCTCTATTTTAATATGCATCAGCATTGTCTTCAGTCCAATCTGATACTAATGTAATAAAAGTACTTTGTATTAAGATGGGAGATTTGGAAAGATTATATACAAGATTTAAATTTTTCAAGTTCCGGTTATGGTATCACATATTATTGCTGTTTATAGCAACCTGGGCCAACCAGGGTTTTCAAGGTAACTCAATGTGAAGTGAAAGATGACTTGACTTGTCGCAGATTTGCTTCCAAGTCTCTGCTGGATTGGATTAGGGTAGCTCTTCTATGCTTGTATAGTTTCCCCTGCTATTCTGGCTAATCTCCTTAAGTGCCTTTCAAATAGATAAATGAATGTCATCACCGGTTTTCTATCACAAAATGATTCGTCTGGAGCTCTGTAAGTAAATGTGATGACAAGCTATGTCACTTTAAATAATGTGTACGTTTATTTAAAAAAGGGTATTGCTGTCCTCAGAAAAGCTTTGTGAACTGAATGCTTCTACTGTATACGTTAATGGTAACATAAAATGTATTGGGTTTTACTTATTGAAAACTGGGTCTTAAGCTGTAATGTAATCTTGTTTTTTGAGATTTATTTTGTATTGCTCTGTTCATTTATCTGCATGAAACAGTAAAGAAAGCTGGCATTAACAGTGTTTTAAGTTAGTTCAATGGTAATGTGAATTATTCTCTTAAAAATGTAAATGGTATTTATACATTGTCAGTCTCTTCCAAGGTGTAGACACTGATCAGGGCCTGTGGTGGATTATTTTGTTGAAGGGTGTACCAACTCCTTTCTTCAGCTTAATGTGTCAAAAATCAAGGACATGATCACTGATTAAAGAAAGCAACCACCACTTGCCAAACCAGCTGAAAAGTCGCTCAGGAGCAAGACATTGAAATTGTCCAGTTATAGGTGTCTTGGCTCTAGATCACAAGCTAACCTTGGGGAAAAGCACAGATGCCATACCTGTATGTAAGAAGAGCCAACAGCAACTGTTGTTCCTGAGAAAACTCCACTCTTATTAATGTGTGTACTAAAGCATGACTTAATTCTGCAGAACCTTCATTGAACCTGTCTTGACATTCATGCAGTCACCTGTTTGGTAATCTTAATACACACAATAAAAACAGACTGAGCAGGATAGTGAAGGCAGCCAGTACAATTTTTGATGAGCAACAGCTACAGCTGTCAGATCTCAAACTAATAGTGTGGAAGGTCAATATAATTACTGTCATGACCACCCTTTGCACAGTGAATTGGAGCTCCTTCCATCGGGCCATGGATTTTGACTAGCTAGATTCAAATGCAGTAGAACTAAGGTATTTTTTATTCCTACAGCTATTTTAACCTGCTTAATCTGGACAATTGATTGTGTATGTTACTTTATATCTATTTTTGTCATCATACAAATATTCGTCTCTTATGTGCTAATGGGTTTGTGTTGTGTTAAATGAATTGTGTTGTTTCTTTCACCTTCCGGCAGGTAAAACAAGTTTCCCATCTGGGACTATAAAAGGAAGAAATTAAATTCAAAGGGCTTTATTTCCCCCTTTCTAAAATCCTGAAAAGTTCAGACATGTTTGGTCTTGGAATGATAGAGACGTAGCTGCAGTGAAGGACGCTTTGCTTAGAAGTTTCCTCTGGAAGATGACCATTTCTGCACCTACTTCCCTAGCATTGAAGCCAAGCGAAGATAGTGAAGGTTGCTAATTGTCATGAAATGGTGGATTGGCATTGCCGTGTGTGTTGTTTAGTAATGTTTAATTCTTCAGAGCTTTTAACACTTAATCGGAGAGGATTTAGTGGTAAGCTCTTAAAAAGCTCTGTGGGGGCACCTAATTGCTTCGGCTGAGTGCTCTGTGAGTGTGAATGCTGTGCAGGTGTCCAGGTTAGCACATAATCCCTAGACTGGACCCCCACAGTGAGCACTGGACTCCTGCATGGAGGGGCAAGCATACATACAGGGTATAAAAGGTGGAGAAGCTGCAAGCACACAGCACCTACGAGAGCACAGAACACCATACGTATCCCAGCAAGGTAAGATGAAATCATCGTAATCATGTTTTATATTATACTACATTTAAGGAAGTTCAGGTTCATAGCTGTTGTTCAAGCCTTCTAAGCTCTCGTTTACTGTTTAATTATTTGGGTGGGTATTAGGCCCTGACTTGCTGGTCACCTCTTTGCAACAATTAATACCCTAATATGATACGTAGATACAGTTTGCTTGAAAGAGTTTCAGAAAACCTGGCACACAACAAGCATTGAGAGGTGGAGTTGTACACTTTTGATTGTATCGTGTACCGTTATATTCTAGTGTGTGGCAGATGACTCCAGCAATGCCATCTAGCACTGTAAAAGTATCGTGAAGTTTACCTGTAAGGACTGCCATTGCTGTGATTAACAAAGATATCCATCCCTACGTTTCAGAAAAATTGCTAGTGACTGATATGTGAGAAGTAAAAGGGAGTGTTTTATTTTAAAAAAAGGAATCAGAAACTTTTTTGATGGCAAATATCTGACATTTTCTTAAATTAGTTTATGCCTCACTTTAAAATGGTTCCAAACTGACAAGTCTAGTACCAGAGGTAAAGTAGTAAGAAATGTTTACTTCCTAAATTATCAGATAATTACACTGGTGAAGGTATCCTCCGAGTTTGTCTCAGGGTCGTCCGAGTAGTGTATATTCGATGTCTGTTAGGAAGTCTTTCTCGTAAAAGCGACACACAGATCTGTTTGCCGTTTCAGAATGAAAGCGCAAAAGAGCTCCCTCTTCTGGCTAGTCGTGGCCATGACATTGGTGACGCAGGCGTGCAGTCAGCACTGGTCATACGGCTTGAGACCTGGTGGAAAGCGGGAGGTGGAGAGCCTGCAGGACACGCTTCAAGACGTAAGCGCTCCTCTCTGATCCTGAATCACCATCCTCATGTGAGATCACACTCCGTCACGCGAATTACTGAATTGCAGAGGCCTTTGTCCTTTTGCCCTGGGATTTTTAATAAACACAGAGAGTCAGGACCTCGGTTTTACATCTCATCCAAAGGGTGGTGCCTTTTTACAGTATAGTGTTCCTGTCACTATACTGGGGCTTTAGGACACACACATACCATGGAGTGAGCGTCCCCTACTGGCCCCACTAACACCTCTTCCAACAGCAACCTTAGCCTTACCCAGGAGGTCTCCCATCCAGGTACCAACTAGGCTCACACCTGCTGAGCTTCAGTGGGCTGCCATGGGTGTTGTAGGGTGACATAGCCGCCTGCTGGCAAAGTGGCTAAAAAATCCTTATGACATGTAAAAACATTTTCTTAATTATCTCAAACTCTTCTTTCATATTTGTGTGCAGATTGCGGAGGAGGTGAGGAAACTGGATGCGATCCGCCAGCCTGGCTGTGCTGATGTCTCTCCACAGAGCAGGCTCTCCAGCCTGAGAGAGTTGCTGGTAGGAGAGCAGTTGAACCACATGCTGTTCGTCGTCTCAGAATTGTCACAGTGGTAGACCTTGGTCAATGGTCTTCCTTTCCAAAGTGGTCCGGTCAAATGGAGAAATGGTGTCAAATAAATAAAAATGGACATCAATCATTTGATTTTTACTGCTACCGAGGAACGTTAAACTAATAATAATAAAGGGATTATTAGAAGGCCATGATTGGTAAAGGCCAGCAGAAATTTGACCAGGACACCAGGGTTAACACCCCTACGCTTTTTGAGATATACATATTGGGAATCCTTTGGAACTGAGTTGTGTAAAGTGAATTAAGTAGGATTATTTTAGGATGAGGGCTTAAACGGCAGTTATATCTGTAAACAAGGAGGCTCTGTTACAGGAACCGTGTTAAAAGACAAACGTGCTTATAGATGAAACTTATTTACACAAAAGTGCTCTGTGAGCAGACCTGTTGTTTCTATTGATAATGGGGCTTGAGAGCATAGAGTTTAACTCTGCTCCTGGTGGCCCACGAGTCTCCTGGTTGGTGGTAGTCAATTAAACAATTAACCTAATTATTTTCTTAGTTACACACGGATAGTATTTTTCTTAAGGTCTTTTTTTTCAGCTGACTAGTCAAAAAGTTTAATTCAGAGGAGACTTACCTATAACCCCCCCTTGGAGCCTGGTTATCACTACACACCAGAAGATGCAGGCTCTCCAGGAACAGTCCCTGCTTTAAAAGGGAGTGCTCATGCTGTGGTTGTGTGGAATAATTGGGCTCTTTGCTCTGGAGTTGCACATCTTGACTACCCCGTGTAGACACTGCTGTATTCTTGCATCAGTTTCCCACCCAGGGGAGGCCTTGTGTTCACAATTGCCTTAAGCACTACAGACTCGCCAAGCTTGTGAAGCATTCATTAGAACATCATGGACATGTCGTTACAGAATGAAGTTGCAAACAGGAAAAGTCGCACCTGCCTTCATACTGTATGTGACCCCCCCATAAGTTAGCAAATGTTTCTGTTTCTGATTTGAAATTGGAATTCGAGAAAAGAGGTCATTATTTTTAATCTATTTGCAAATATATTATTTTGTCCACTCACAGAACGTTCTGTTTTCTCTTTTATTGTAGGCGAGCCTGGCTGAAGAAGAAAGAGGACGTAAAAATATATAGGCATTGAAGCTGTGCACCTCCAATAAAACATGGCATTGATATCAGCTGTGCTTCGTGCTTATTTACTGGTCCTTTAACAACTGGCCCTCAGCTGCACACATACACTAGGAAGTGTGCGCTTCATTAGTCGGATAGGCAGAGTAAGGAGAGTGTATATCTCTGCACTGAAAACAGAAAAGAAAAATCGATGTTTCGGCTGTTAACGCAGTCGAAATGGTGTTTTTTTTCATTTCATTTTTTCAGCGTGAAATTACTCTCATCTTCTTCCTAATCATTCCTTTGGCTAATATCCCAAATTGTTTATACTAGGAATAAAAATGTGACCGTTACGAAACTTTTAGCCCTGATCAATAGCTTAAATTCAGAACAACGTTGAACAAAAATGCATATATTTACGAAATAAGTAATAGTTACCACTATTGCATAGAGCATTACATATGGTTTTATTGCTCTACGTTAAAAAGAGGGGAAAAATATTTTATTTAGAAAATGTTAATGGTCAACACCTACTGTAGGTATTTTATCTGGAAAACTGCAGAAAGAAAGAGAACCTTAAAGTACCAGTATCTAAAATGCAATGAAACTCGTTTAAAAATTAAATTTTCTCGTGGATATTTCCTGTGCACAGATTCATTATTATGTCGTTTTGTAGTTTGTTAACAGTCTGCTTTGTAATCGAGGGAGTGTGAGGCACACTGAAGAAAAAGGAAGGAAGGGGTGTTTAATTATTCGTCTGTCGCCGGATTTAAGTGAATTTACCAAGTTTTAAAAGTGTTATGTAACACCGTTTTAATAATATAATAATAATAATAATAATAATAATAATAATAATAATTATAACAATTATAATAATTATTAAGATTTTAGTCACATAACAAGTAACTGACAATTTAACACGCGGGATTTTAATATTCCATAAAGCGTCTTAATAGATAAGGGCGTCTCGTTTTCAGATATAATTATTACTGTAAAGAAGGGAATTCCCGCATCCTTTCCAACACTTCAACAGCAGGATACCGACGCGTCTGCAAGGTCACAGAAGCCGCTCCGCGCCTCTGATTGGTCGAGCAACGTCCGTCAGCTGGAACCGGAGAGGGCGCGCTATCACGTGACCTCTACGCAAAGGAAGGAGTGTGCGAGTTTGTCTTCCGCAGTACAGTGCAGAGTTGGTCTGGATTAGAGTATGTACAATTAATGTTAAGGAATGTTCGCTTTTATTTTAATCTGTGTTGATAAGCATCATATTAAGTAACAAAATAGTTTGCGAAAATGATGTAAGCTCGTTTTTTTTCCTCTCTCTTCTAAGGTCTTAGAATAGTTCAGTCACTATCATTGCTGTCATGGTGGTATTCAAAGTGTAGCGTATTCTTGGCTGTGGATGGAGTTACCCCATGATATTAACTAAACAGATTTGTCAGTGACGGTGTGGAGCACGACGCAAAATTATATTGTTGAATTAGGGTTTTTGCACAAAAAATAGATGGCTCGTGTCGTAGTTTCGGTCGTTGAGATTTACATAAATATACAGATTCTCTGTTGACAAGTGATGTAGACAAAATATAATACTGTTTTAGCTCCACGGTATTGTCAGTACAGACTAACTTCGAATAAATCGCTCACATTGAAGTATCCAACATCATTGCCGTCATCTAAAGCCATCACTTTGTGATGAATTTTAAATCCATTGGAAGGGTTAAAGTCTTTTCTATAAACGGATTCCTGCATCAGTTCTTTGTAGATATAGCCTGGAGATACAGCAGGGCTTTCTTTCAGGAATATGAAACGAATCCATTTTGCTTCCTGGCTTGTTGATAGGTCTCCTTCACTGAAGAAGCAGGCATCTCTGTCCATCTGGTCGCACAAGCATGGCATCAGTGGGCGAGGCACACTGTGCCAGCTGCGCACACACCAGCCTGGCATCTCCCAGTGCCCACCAGACTCTGGATGAGATGGATTTTGAAAGAGGTCGGTTTGGACTTTCATGGACTTTGAAAGAGGTCGAGAGAAAAGAGACAGAATGTTTTGGCTGAAACGCCTAAAAAAGGCTCCACAGCCGAAACGCTGTGTCTCTTTTCTTTTCCTTTCAGTGTGGAATAAACCGTTACCTGTTCCTTTGCAGCCTACGCTTGCTGAAGGCAGCTACCTACTTAAACATGTTTTTGAGTATATTTGTACAGATCATGTCATGGCCATTTGCCAAACCGCTTTATACCATACGGTATTTGTACAGGTGTGTTACTAAAATAATATCTTGTAAACATTTACTTTTCTGTTCCTTTAATAGAATGTAGACTAGTGGCCGCCTCTCGCAATGCCTGAAACAGGCCTCTCTACACTATGGAAAGTGTGACTTCCATCGCAGTATTTTCTCTTTGGTGTTGTGGTGATGCTGGATATGTGTGTCCATTCAGGTATCTGGTGTGCAGCTCTTTCGGGGGACGCGGAGAGGGTCCAGGCCTTGCTGCACAAGGGGACAGATCCCAATGTGAGGGACCAGGCTGGTTACACTGCGCTGGTGAGGGACTAACAGCACATTTCTTGTAACACCCTGGCACCATCGGTCCATGAACAGTACTTCAATATAACCTTTAAGATCAATGATTTCATTGTTTAAAAAAAAAACATTTGTAGAGTTAAAGAAACGTTTGTGGAGCTCGGAAGCCTTGGTATTGTTCCTGTTTTCGTTTTGCCCTAATTTCCTACATTTATATTAGCAGTCCCAGTTGACTTATACAGTATATAGACAGTAAATGCACCTTGACAGTACTGTGCAACTGATCTCATGCCTACAGGCAATGCAACATTGAGAAATGCTACTCGAGTTATGTGTAGTTTGATTTTGCCCAGTCGTATTAGTTGAGGGCAGGATGCATTGGCTATCCGGTAACGAAGGGTACATTGTGTTTACAGCACTATGCCAGTCGCAGCGGGTGCTTGTCCGTGTGCGCCCTCCTGCTGGACCGTGGAGCATGCACCAGTCCTCAGACCAGGGGCGGGGCCACCCCTCTGCACCGCGCCGCCTACTGCGGCCACGTGGGCGTGGTCAGCCTGCTGCTGGCCCGGGGGGCGGACCCTCTTCTCTGTGACGACGAAGGCTCCTCCCCCTTGCACAAGGTAGGAAAGAGCTCTGGATCATGTGACACTCTGTTAAGGTACAGGCTAAATGGGCACCCCCCAGAGATCACAACTTAATTGCTTTGTGTGGATATTTTTGCAGCAGATCATATTTAAAAGATTTGTTGAGTTTTAACAAAACAGTTAAGGATCTACCTTCTCCCTATTTTCTTAACGAAATGAGGGTGAATTAAACAAGGTGTGGTTTGTTGGAGCTTCATTTTTGTTCTCCTTGATTGTACTGAGGCTAATGACAGTGACTGGGCATCTGGCCATGTCTGCATTTTGGATGGCTTTGCCAATGTTAACCCTGGCCCAGACAGAGACTAGGCCCGATACTGGCCGAATACCTGAGTGCGTTGGGGATGGTTGTGACCCTGTGCTTGATGCTGGCCTGACCCTGTGTTGTGTGCAGGCCGCAGAGCAGGGCCGTGAGGAGGTGTGTGAACTGCTGCTCCAGCGCTGTCCTTCGCTCAAGACCCTGGCAGATAAGAGGTCCCGCACAGCCTACCACCTGGCCCAAGAGGGGAGCAGTCTGAAGCAGCTCTTGAGACCCCCTGAGAGCGTTCACTGACACCCACCAGCCTCTGCAGGGGCTGAGAACAGCACACATCACAGTCAGGTTCTTACAGGGGTGTGCTGGGACCTGCTGTGCACAGTACTGGCGCGGACAGAGAAACAAACAGCCCTGTTATGTTGACCAGAGCTGTAATGTAGAGACGAGGCTGTAGTTGATACACTTGTACTTCATGTACAGGGACAGTCCAAGGTTTTCTTGGCTGAATGGCATGTTCTTACCATGTTTTCTTAAGTTCTTATGAGTTGAAGAGCCCTAGGCCAAGCTACGACATGCTGTATATCTTTTGACACTGCATAGACTGTGGCCCCCTTCCTTGTGGGATTTAGCCCTTGGAATCAGAGTCAGATAAATGAAGTCTGAGTATGAGACAAGAGACAACCAGCTGCACTCAGGCACAACTTCATCACAGGCTTGACCAGAGCAGTGTTCCAGGTTCAAATTTGCGTTCACGGGGTCCGGGTTTAACAAAAAATCAAGATGCAAACAGGACTGTAACTGCAGCGTTCACTCTGTTTGATTCATTTTTTTGGACTTCTCAATCCAGGATTGGAAAAGGGCTCAGCTTTGCTTATTCTCTCAGAAGTGGAGTTTGATAAGCTGTGCGGGTACTGTTTTCCAGTATACTAATCATATCACTCTTACGCATAAATGTATGTTACTATCTAGTTTTTGGGTTGTCTGTTTTTTCAAGGTTTCGACTTCCTGACTTGAAGTTTTGAAAGATCAGCAGGGTAGAACCACTCCTCTGTGTATTTTTGTTTACCTGTTTGAATCAATCAGCAATAAAAAAGTCACAGTCACGTCCTTGTCTGTTCCCTTTATAATGTTACACACCAACCATAAGTAAATACCAAGTTTTTTTAAGGTATCACATGCTACACAGGAGTGCACTTTCCAAATGTGGATTAAAATACTTCAGTGTCCTTGCCCTTAAAGCAAACAACCTGTCTCAGAGACACATACAGTACATAAGTATTCAGCTGCAACACAGCACTAATCACTGACAGAAAAAAACACATCCCATACCTGTTAGTGCGGCTTTGTGTCTTGTACAGGGCTGTAGTTGAACAGTCACCTGCTTGGCTCACAGATTTACCAGGGACAGGGACACACTGTGAAGGTAGACACTGGGAAGGCTAATGGTAAAACTGATTTCAATATTAAATGAAGAAAGAAATCCATGAATTCTGAAAGCAAAAGCAGTTTTAATACACCAGTAGTTGCTATGGTTAATGAGTGAGAAACTGTATGATTGTCTTTTGCTTTTATTTTAAGCTAAAAATATAGAGCAAGAGGAGAACAATGATTTTTATCTTTGTGGAAATGTCAAATTTTTTTTTCTCACTGCAGTGCCAACATCTAAAAGGGCTTTGTAGTAGTTTTCACAGCTGGACCAGCGCCTGATGTTTCTCAGAGGGTTCCCAGAGACACTGTGGGCCAAATCCTAACTGTTTCTTTCTTATTGCGTAGTCACACGGATGGACAGGTGCAGAGCCTTTACACAGGTCACGACGCTGGGAAAACACAAGGGGGCAGCAGAGCTGTGCTGAATGCAGTTACTGTCCCAGCAGAGAGGGGCAGATTTCTCCATACTGCATGTAGCTCAGTTTGTAGCTTCGCTTCAGAGAACAACATAACAATTTAGCAGGTTGTTTTTATGGATACAATAACAGTGCAGCGGGACAGCATAATTTACGGGTTGTTCAGTCCTGCTTTGAATAACTGTTGTTCCTGCCAGCATGCTCTTCTGAGAAATCCTTTGCTGCTCAGTTGGTTTTTAACAGAGTTAATTCCACTGCATTTTTCCCCCTGATTTGTTCTGTGCATTTAAGCAGGCAATTTCACTTGTAACTTGTAACTGTACTTACACCCTTTGCTGTAATCCTGTTGCTTCCTTCTTGTCCTCTTGCTGTCTTGTGAGCTCTCTTCTGCAGAGGAGCACAGTTTTTCATGTGACTGACACTGCCTGGCACAGGCTGCCTTTGTGAGTAGATGCATCTGATGGCAGTGGTGCAAGTTTTGTATTTGCTAAAGTAAAGGACTTGCAGAATTCTGGCTGGCTGTCCTAATGGTCCTCAGAGGAGGGTTACAGTCAGCAGTGCCATCTTCACTCTGAAGTGTGGAAATAAGGCAGTGTGATGTTTCAGCCAGACTTGAAGGATTCTACCTCTCAGCAGTCATTACTTGGTATACTTGATAGGAAGCAAAATGCAACAAAACATGTAGGATGTTGCCTATTGGAAAACATCTTGAGTACGATTTCATGCTGCATTTGCAAAAGAGTCAGAAAGAACTGGTGTTTACTGCAAACACACTGTAGCTACTAGTCATTTTCTCTGTTTTCATTTGAATAGCTGAAGGCCATGTGAGAAGATGTGCAATCTTGCTGCTTGCTACACTAGTCAAAGGTTTTTGAATCTCCATGAAGTGTTTTTTGCTTGTTATCAGCTTCCAGCACTTCGGTGGCCAGGGCAGACCAGGAAAGTGGTTTAAGTGCCCTATACCCAGTCTGTACTGGCTTGTTTTCAGCAGGGCATTGTTTGGAGTGTTCACTCTCCTTGTTCCTTCGGCCTGTGGCACTAGCTGGGCCTCATGCCAGGCTGCTTACATAAAACTGCGTGGTTGTGTTATGATTAACTACTGTCCCTCAGGGCAGCTGTGTTCATGCGACCAATGTAATTCACTTACCCACAATGACGACCCCAGGCACTGAGACGTGAGAGGAACAGGGCCGATATTGATTCAGATGGCTGAGGGGGATCTACAGTGGTACATATAGGGCCACCACGTGCTTTGTTAGTAGGAACATCTTGGGCTGTGGTAAATTTGCAGAGGGAGATTGTGTCCGGCAGAGATGAAGTGTTGCGGTCACTCTCACGGGACAATAGCCCTGTGGTTTCGGTGCACTCAGTCACTTCTTGGGCTGACTTTTTGTTTACTTTTTCTCACATGAGCAAGATGCGCTGGAGCTTGGAACCACAAATCCTGAGTCTGAGTGTGCATTAGTGTCCTTGAAGCTGATCAGGTCTATTGACTTGGCATTCGGCACTCACCCTGTGGTCTGTGTGGGTCCTAATGCTCCAGTGTAGTGATGGGGACACTATACTGTAAAAATGCACTGTCCTTCGGATGAGATGTAAAACCAAGTTCCTAACTCTCTGTGGTCATTACAAATTGAGGGCATTTCTCAAAAGAAATTAAGGTTGTTAACCCCAGTGTCCTGGCCATATTTCCCACTGACCTTTACCAATCATGGCCTCCTAATAATCCCATCTATGACTTCATTACTCTGCTCTCTTCCCCACTGGTAACTGGTGTGTGGGGAGCTTGCTGGTGCACTTTGGCTGCCATTGCATCATGTGGGTGGGGGCTACACACTGGTGGTGGTCGAGGGGAGCCCCCACTACCTGTACAGCGCTTTGAGTGGAGCGTCCAGAAAAGCACTTTAAAATTGAAAGGATAATTATTATTTGAGAAGCACAGATGATCTTTAATACCTCATGGTGTACTGGGTCTAGCCTGCCCCCTGTTCAAATGTCCAGCTCATCAAGCTGGCACGATGGACTGGGTGCACACAGAGTAACAGCTAAGTCTGATTCCTGGCAAGTGCTGAAGCAGAGATCTTTCTGACTAATTGTAATTCAGATTTCTTGTCTTAGTAGGATGCTACAATTAGAATGGTCAATAAGCAACCAATTAAGATCAGAATGTTTTTTTTTCACATTCTGTATACTTAAGTGACTTAACAATAATGCGTACTTATCCATTTCTTTATGGATGTTCCATTACTTTAATCCACAGGGGGTAACTATGGCCGAGTTTATGTGCAGGGAACTATAAAGTACTGTTGTATGGCTTCAATTCCTACAGCATTTATATAATGCACTTTGAAATTATTACTCCATAAAGGAACTTTTTAACCTCCTTCCTGCCCTCTTGTACATCACCAGTATGAAGCTGAAGGTCTTGTCTTCAGAAGGTTATTGTAGTTCACATATACCTGCCCTCCTGTCAAAACTCCAGATGGAACTTTAGATTTCATCTTGGGGAAGTGTTGTTCTCCAAATTGAGGGTAAGCAAATTGTGACATGGAAACAAAACAAAGCAACAATAAGTTGCTGTACGTGCTTAAGTAGGCACAGTTTCCATTACATATCATACTTGAGGGAAACATCACAGCCTGTCAACTGTTTTATGACATCTCGAAAATCACCAGAAACGTGGTGCCTGGAAATAACAGCAGAGAGCCAAAGGCTTTCAGAAGACTGACGTGAAAGTGGTTTTTTATTTTAAAAAATGTGCCTAAAAATTAAAAGAGGGCTGAGCGATACTTTCTCGAGGATCTGCCTATAAGAGAGAAAACCATGATCTTTTCATAAAATAAAAAAATGACCTTCATAAAAAAAGAGCGTCACAGTTTATTATAACAACGAATCTTGCTGGGAGACCCAGCCATGTACGAAGGATTGTACTGTGTGTCTCATACCAGGCGATGCCTCCTGAGACCAGTTAGAAAGCCAGGTCAGTGGCAGCCTGCTGGAAGACGTTTCTTTGTTAGCCTGTGCTGTCAGCAGGCCCTCAGATGAGCCCCAGCGCTCAGCGCTGTCAGGCTGTGTCAGTGGGGCTCTCTGCAGGCTGTGTTAGCAGCACCCCGTGTGAAGTGTGTACAGTACCGCTGTCCAACCCCTTTCAATCCCTCAGTTGTCTCAGGTGGCTGCAGCCTTCCTGCTCTCTGAAGTGGGGAACAGTTTCCACCTCTGTCCATCTCTGTTATTCTAGTTTCTCTGCACTGCTCAGAATTCCACCCTCACAACCCTCAGTGTCCACCTCTACCTGACATCTCCTGCTCTGGCTTTTTACACCCAGACCCTGGAGCGCCCAGCTGCTGAAGATAACAAGAGGCACTGAGCTGTGCCATCCAGCTGTGCCAGGAGCCATATGTTGATCCCAAAGATTGACCACAGAATCCCCAATAGCAATAACATTAAATTTTATGCTTTTCTACGTCAGTATTTGTTTCTACCTTCATCATTTGCTGGACATTTAACAGGCTTGAAGTAATAAAGCCATTTGCTGTGATTTGCAAACAAACCAAAATGACAGAAACAGATGGCTGTTTTGTGCAGATTTGTTCCCTGCTGTGGAATACAAGATCACAGCAGCACCTGGATGTCATATTCACGCTTGTGGATGCTGGGCTCTGCTCTGAGCAGTTACTGCTGTCAGACAGATCCGTGTCTGTCATTCCCACAGTGTGACTGACGGCGCTGTTGTTGGCAAGTCAGAGGTCTGAAGGGTGAAGCACCGGGAAGCTGGGAGCTGATGCAATGCCTTCAGTCCCAAGTGCATTGTGTGTTTGACTGATGTTGAACATCCTCTGTTTAGTCAGCAATCTGTCAGAGCTCCCTCACCCTTTACCCCTGTTGAAAGACATGGCACACCCATTAAAGATCTTTTTCTTGCTCTTTCACCTCTCCTTCCTTCTTTTGTTCACTCTCTCTGTCTTTCTTCCCAATGTCTGGGTCTCATCGCCCTCCTCCCTCTCTTTGCGCCCTCATAGCTCTTTTCCTCTGCCCTTTATCCTGTTCTCCACCTTTTTTTGACTGCAACTCCAGCCTCTGTCTCTGTTTCTTCTCAAATCTGCCTTTTCTCTTTGCATGTTCTCCAGCTCTGTCTGTCTCCTCTCTCTCCATCCCTGCCTCGTGCTCTCTTTCTGCCCTCCCCTCCCCTCTTCCTCCTCTCTCTCTCTCTCTGATTATGACAGAAACCACACACAGGAGTCTGGGGAACTTTCATTGGG